GTGTATTACTGTTGATTCACTTTGAACTAAAATACATATTGCAGCAAAATATATATATATATATAATTATTTAGCATATAGCATATGCAAGTGCTTAAGTGCCATTTGTCTAAGACATGTATCTGTCTAAAACCTCTTTTCACTTATACAGAAAAATCTTTGCTTCTGAATTTGCTCATGAAACCCCCCTGAATTACCATTTAATCACAGTGGCAGGCAGCTTCCGAGATGACCTCCACTTCCTAGTATTCATGCCCTTGTGTAATCCCCTCCCCTTGAGACCTGGACCTCACTTCTAAGAAATAGAATATGGTGAAAGTGATGGGTGATTCTAAGATCAGGTTACATAAGACTGTGACTTCATATAGCTCATGCCTGCTCTCTCTCCCTGATGAAGCCAGCAGCCAGGTGTGAGCTGCCCTACAGAGATGCTCAAGGAACTAAGGGTGCCTCTGGCCAACAGCCTTTAAGGAACTGAATAGTGCCAACAGCCATGTGACTGATCTTGGAAGTGAATCATCCCTCAGTCTAGCCTTGAGGTGACCACAGCCCTGGCCTTGCAGCAGCCTTGTGGGAGACCGCAACTGCAGCCTTGTGAGAGACCTTGAATCAGAGACTCCAGCTAAGCCACACCCAGACTTCTGCCCCACAGAAACTGATAACAAATGTGTGTTGTTTTAAGCCACTAAATTTTGGGGTAGTTCTGCATACAGCAATAGATAAGTTATGCAATCAATCACACACTGAAAGCCAGTACAGGCATTTAAGGATGATTTCATCAAGTTAATTGAAAGGGGAGGAAGAATTTGAGTTCTTCCTTGGTGAGAGAAGAATCATTATTCTATTGAGCAATATGCTTAGTGGGCCCAGTGGCAACCCCTGTAAGATGTGCTCAACAGAATGAGAGCCTTTAAGTAAGCAGCTTTCCCTTTCTAGGTGTGTGTGAGAACTCCACTTCCTTATTGATTGCATATAAATTGTTTCCATTTTTTCACAATTACAATCAATGCTAGAGTCAATGTCCTTGTGTCTTTGTATACATCTCTTGATACGCATGCAAATTATTTCTACAGGTTAGTTATCCAGAAATAGAACAGCTGCATCAAAGAACATAGGCAGTTAATGTTTGATGCATTCTAAATTATGTCCAATAAAAGGCTCTGTCATTCTAAACACAGCATATTGAACCCATGTGTTAATGATCCCTCCTTCCCACCGAAGCCCCATCTACATACTAATGACATGAATAAAACAGATATAAGTTACAAGTACAAAGAGGAGATTGGAAAAGAACATAGAAATAAGAATAGAAGATAGAAAATTAGTCAACAAGTGGATGTAAGTGCAGTGAAGGAGGCTGGAAG